CAGCTCCTTACCATTAGGCCACCAGAACTCCCCTATGAGTTCATGGTCTGTAGTAATTGAAAAATGGATTTGATTTTCCTTTCCATTACTGGGATGGTTTTATACTGCCACATTGGGTGACAAAGAGTAGAAAATAAATCCAGGGCTCCCAGACTCACTGTCATCAAATTGATTCTGAGTCATGGCAGTGCTACATCAAATTTATAAAACTGTAGATCTTAACAGGAGGAGATTGTCCATCCTTGGCCTGTAGTGCTGCTAGTGGATGCAAAACAGAGATTCTCAGCCTTTTGGTTGGCAGAGCACCATCCTATGGACTATGCCACAAGACCTCTTCGATGGCTTCTAGCAATAACATTATAGATTGTAGTGGACAAGATCTATTAGCGGGGCGGAAACATTAATCATCTGTCCTTGATTTGACTCTGTTTAAGGTGTGGTATTGTTTGGTCAGCCTGGGCTCATGCTCATCTCTGATCGCCAGCAAGCTAGTATGTGCACATCTTGAGGTTCTTTGGGCCTCTGATATGTTGTAGATCGTTTTCCTCTGGTAATGTTTGCTCAAATGTAGGAAGCATGGTGGTTTAAGCTTGGATGTTAGTACACAGCTTTCCCTTTTGTAAAGCTCTTGGGACTGAGTTGAGGGAGATGGCTTCACAGGTATACTTGTGTCCGAAGTGAAAATTTATTCTGTTATTTGACCTTGGACTGGCAGTAGCTGGAGTTCCACTTTAGTGACTTTGTTCTTTTGACTGCATCTCCAGTCCTAGATTGGACCACATTCAGAGCTGGGTTTCCAAGCTCTTGCCCCCTGTCAGTGTGCCCGCCTATTTGCCATAAAGGGTGACATCATAGAGTAGGGGAGCCTCAGGGGTTCTGTGAGAGGCCTGTGAAAATACCTTCAGGGAGGCTGACTCCATGGTATACTTACACCACGGGGGACCCTAGCGGCTGAATTCCTCTAGTAAAAGGATAGCATGAAGGTTTCCTGTGTCAGTGCTGACTTATATTCCCTATTCTTGATGGATAAGGAAAAGGGAAGTAGGAAGTACAAAATGGAGAGAATTTCCTTTTACTCAGCGCATGGCGCCTGACCTGTTTTCTTCTTTAGTCTTCTCATGGGCCTGTGTGGTCAGTATTATCCCATATTCTAACATAGAAACTCCTGGAGGCTTACCAACAAAGAAGTTTATCTTTTGCTTTTCAAAGAGAGGCGTGAACTGGGGGAAGGATGGTAATGAAAAAAGTACAACAATGAATGAATGAAAATCCAAAATCTCTGTAAATGTTCATTAAAATTAATAAAATAAAATTAAAAAAAACACACACACACACAAACTCCTGGAGGCTAAGTCACATGACCAGTGTTACACAGGTAGTACAGGGGAAATTCCAGTTAGATCAATTCATCTGCAGAGATTTTGCTCTTTTCACTTTACAGTCTTGGGATAGACTCATAAATTCCTCTTCAAGCATTATAGCAATTAGCAATTTGGAAAAGTACTGCCCTCTGGTATGCTGGTATGATTTCAGTCTTAACAGTCTCTTGTTATTAATTACTTCAAATAGTCATTTCTAACATTGTATTATCTATTAGCACTCTAGCACTCAGGTTGTGCCTGTTTCCTCCCAAGCCATTGTTACCACATTCCAGGAACATTCTTCCTTCTCTCCATCCAACCTTGATACAAGTAGTATTTATCAAGCAATTTTAATTTGTTACTAAACCCTAGGTCCAGAGTGAATGACATTGACATTGAACTACTCCCATTCTTAAAGAATTTACATAATTAAGTGATTAAGTGCTCAACTACTAATAAAAAAAAGGTTATGAGGTTGAACCCACCAGCTGTTCAGTGGGAGAAAAGACCCAGCAGTCTACTTCAGTAAAGATTACAGTCCAGAAACCCTGAGGTCCCCACTGCTCTGTTCTGTAGGGCACTGTCAGTGGAAATTGACTCACAGTAGTACTAGGGATACGAACAATAAAGTGTCATTTTTGTTAGGATAAAAGAGACACCTGGTACTCTGGGAGTATAAAAGAACATCTGGCCCAAACAGGGTGTGTTTGCACACTGAGAAGACTTTCATAGAAGACTAGTTGTCTCATCCAGCCGTGAAAGTAGGACTTGGTAGAATGGAAGTAGTTTTCCAGATTGAAGAGGGGAATTAAACTGTGTAGAGGACTTACTATGAAGATGGCACCGAAAGCGAAGAAGCCCCTGCCCCTCCCAAAACTGAAGCCGAAGCAAAGGCATCAAAGGCCAAGAAGGCGGTCCTGAAGGGCATCCACAGCTACAGAAAAAGAAGATCTGCACGTCACCCACCTTCCAATGGCCTAAGACACTGAGATTAGGAAGGCAGCCCAAATGCCCCCAGAAGAGGGCCCCCAGGAGAAACAGCTTGACCACTATGCCATCATCAAGTTTCCCCTGACCACCAAGTCAGCCATGAAGATAGAAGATAGCAACACACTTGTGTTCACTGTGGGTGTCAAAGCCAACAACCAAATCAACAAACTGTAAAGGAGCCCTATGACAGTGATGTGGTCAACACCTTGATTAGTCCTGATGGAGAGAAGAAGCCCTATGTTTGACTTGCTCCTGACTATAATGCTCAGGATGTTGCCAACAAAAATGGGATCATCAGAACTGAGTCCAGCGGGCTAATTCTAAATATAAATGTTTCTCACCACAAAAAACAAAACACCAAACAGAACTGTGTAGGGAGAAAGCTTTCAGGCAAGAACCTATATCACCCACAGTCAAAAAACTCAAGTTGAAGCATATCTGCAGTTCTAGTGTTGATCACAAGGGAGCTCTGGTGGTCTAGGTGGCAATAAGCTATGCTGCAATCCCAAAGGCATGTGGTTCAAAGCTACTAGCTTTTTCTCAGAAGGATGGACAGTCTCCTTCCGTGCAGTTAATTACCTCTGAAAACCAACTCCACAGTACATAACAACAACAGAGTAGATCACTAGTTCTAAAACTAGAGCAGTAGTAGAGGCAGGGTCATGAAATGACCTAGTGAACCCTGGTCAGGAACATGAAGTTGATCCTAATGTTGAGGAAGAAACCGTAAAGACAATTGAATAGGATAAGTGATTTGACTGGAACTTGCTAAGCGGAAACAGAATGATGAACAGGACTAGATGTAGCAGACCTAGTTATAAGGCAACACAATTAACTATGATCTAAATAAGAGATACTAGGTTAATAAAGAAAATAAAAACAAAGGAAAATAGAAGGTGAGATTGGAAAGAGGAGGACCCAGAGATTGCAAAGTTGAGAATCTGGGGTAAGAGGACAGAGAGATTGAGAGTTTAGGGTAAGCATGATGGGAAAAGTTAAATTTTGGCCATGATGAATGTAAGGAGTTTAATGCCTAGCAGACAGTTAAGGACATGGTACTGAAACTTGAGAGAAGGTGTCTAAGAAGGTTCAAAAGGTGGCCACAGGAGGTTGGTGGAGGAGGAGGAGGAGTATGCTGTTGAATAACTTCTAAGCTAGAATGTGGGTTAATTATTCTTGGGGGTTGAAATTAATTAGGTTGATAGCTAACCATGGGTGGGGCTTGAAGGGGTGGAGAGGAAGCCTGGGGAGCAGGTTCTAAATGTGTAAATAAGGAAGCTTGTTCAGGAAGTTGCTAAGGGTTGTGACAAGAAAAGGCTGAAAATTTTAGACTGGATGGCATAAATCTCAGGACGAAAGAGCCCCCACCCCACCCCTGCAGTGAAGGATGGAAGACATTTTGGTGGTGTCATGGTTAAAGTGTTTGCTGACTTAAGATTGGCAGTGCAAACCCACCAGCCACTCCTCTGGAAAAAATCTATTTTGAAAAGTATTTCAAAGTAAGAGGCAAAGCAAAATAATCTTCCATGGAGACCTCATGGAACAGTTCTCCTCTGTCCTGTAGGCCGTTATGAGTTCAGGTAGACTTGACAGCATTAGGGTGGGGTTTTGGTATAAGGTGGATGACCTATAAGCAGCCTCGTTTGCACTAAGATGTGAGAAAGAACCACATTTCAGAGCAGGTGTGGGAGAAGAGATAGTCCTGGAGAGAGCTCAGCCTCTGCTTAGGGGAAGGTAGGAGAAGTTTAGGAATTTGGATAGTTAAATAACCATGCCGTGGATGTCCAGAGGATTTGTAACATAGGTGATGTGTAATATAGAAGATTTGATCAGAAAAGAGGAAGCAATATTTGTGGGGATGGAAGTGCAGGATCAGAAATGAATAGAGGGATTTTTGTATCTTAGATTGACACATGATGGTAGAGATAAAGAGAGAGTAGATTTCCCAGACTATAAGACTGGCAGTAAAACAAGATTTAGATGTAGGGAGAGTTCATGTATAGATGGAAATGTATAATAAAGGAAGCATTTACTATCAAAAGTAAAAAGTTGTCAGTAAATATATAGGGATGATAAGTTATCCATTTGGAGAAAAAAAATTTCATTTTCTCAAACAAAAAAGTAAATGTCAAATGGATGAAAGACCTAAGTATACCATTAAAATATTAAAAGAGGATAAAAGGAGACTGTGTCCCACTGATCACAGGGGTAGATGGGACTTTATGAAGCAAGCATATAAAGTCATAAAGGAAAACACTAGCAGATTTGATGACACACAGGAGGCTGTAGTAAAAAGAAATAATATGGTTGAAAAATAAAGGACTAACTAGGGCAGATAGTTTCAGTCTTGTAAGAACAGATCATTAAAGGAAGTAAACCTGCACAATTTGGTGGGTGGAGGGAGGGTTGGTTAAAGGAAAGGGCAAAGATCCTGTATGAAAAACAGTGTATACAAACTTTGTAAGTAAACCAATAAAAAATAAAAATTTTATTTTTTTAAAAAAGGATGTAAACCTGGAAAAATAATACAAGAAGTATGGTCAGTAATGTAAGAAGAGCCACAAACAGCGTGGTCAGAAAAGAGAAAGTTATTGTTCAAGATGTTGTTGTTGGTGGTGTTGCTTTGTCAGGTTGCCTGCAACTCATAAGAGACCCTATGTACCACACCCCTAAACCCCGTTCTATCCTGTGCCAATCTTAGTGTCTCTGACACACCTACCCCCATTACCCCAGTCACTGAATCAACCCATCTCATCAAGGGTCGGTCTTCCTCTCCTGCTCTGTCCCTCTGCCCTCCCAAGCATGACGTCCCTCTCCAAGGACTGGCCCCTCCTTGCAACATGTCCAAAGTATGTCAGACAAAGCTTCAGAATCCTTTCCTCCAAGGAGCAGCCTGGTTTCACCATCTGCAGGTTGAACCTGTTTGTTCTTTTAGCAGTCTGGTTGGCAATTCTGTTCAAAATAGGTAACTTGAAATAATGATGTTTTTATGTATCAGACTGGCAATGAAGAGAAAGAATTGACAATGTCTGGTATTGGAAAGCTCAGTTCTTTTTCATTGTTGCTGATAATGGGAAAAGTCTGTAGTGGCACAGTGATTTAACACTCAGCTGCTAACTAGGCATTTCATTCAGTAGTGTGAACCTTTCATCTGCTGTGGGAGAAAAATGTAGCAGTCTCCTTTGATAAAGACTTCGAACCTTGGAAACTCTCTGGGGCCATATTCTGTCCTGTAGGGTTGCTATGAGTCAGAATTGATTCATAGTGGTTGGGGCTTTGGGGTTTTTGGTTGGTATTACAAGGATGTGGTAAGATGGGTCCTTACATGCTGATTTAGTACAGTAGTTGAGAAGAGTAATTTTGCACTGTCAAATCCAAAGATGTTCATATCTTTGGCCTAGCATCTCTACCTTCTATCTTACAGAAACTTCCTTAGAACTGCTTAAACATACACACACACACACACACACACACACACACACACACACAAATACACATATAAAATATATATGGTATATTTTGTATTTGTATTCCTGGGTTCATGTATATACATAAGGGTATTTATTTACTCAAACATGATTTATAATAAAATATATTTAGAAACATTTCCAAATAGCCATCTAAGAGAGAAAATAGATAAGGTATCATCAATGGAAATCTATTTAGCAGTTACATTTGTTTAATGATGTAGAGCTATATGTATTGACATTAAAATGTTTAAATAATTTAGGTAAAAGGAAAAAAATTCAAAACAATATATCTAACAGGATTTCCTTTTTATTCTTTAAAATGAATCTATCTGAAACTAGGCGACTTCAAAATATTAACCCAAGTTATCATTTGGGATTTAAAATTAATAGGGAGATATTATCTTTCTAGTATAAATAGATCAGACCACATTTTCAAAGTAAGGCAAAGCAAAAACTACTTTAAGAAACTTGGTGGGAGTGAGAGTGTTTCTCTGTGGGCTGGATGGATTGCACTTGTGAGGAGGCATTGTTCTCTGGAGGGTGAAGCATCTTGAGACAGATGGGAGGAGGCACCATGGTCCACACTGAATTCAGTAGTAAGAAGAAGCTCCAGGCTCAGGCAGTTGGAGTCTCACTCTGCTCTTTTCCTGGGATAAGTTTGCTTCTTTCCCTACCTACACAGCCATGTGCCTTTGCACTGACAACTTGCCAAGCTTGGAATATCTTTTCCCTTCTTGGTAGTGGCAAATGCCAACTCAGGATTCAAGAAGTCCTCAAGTTCCCTTTACTGTTATCTTTCCTTCCATTTCTGGAAAGGTGTATGATCTATCCTAGCCCTCAGCACTGTTTTGTAATTATTTGTATTTGTCTCTCCCACTAGACTGTGAGCTTCTCAAGGGCAGGGACCAGGTCTTGCTTTTTCTTTTTAACTGCCCCAGCATCTAGCACAGTTCCTGATACACAGCAAGTGCTCAATAGATAGTGCTTGAAATGAAGAAATTAGTGGAAATTGAATGATTATAAAGTCTTTCATTAGGTTGTGAATGGGGAGAAGCAGCCTGAATGTGATGTCTGTATGGTGGGAGGAGGAAGGGAGCATGGTGGCCTGGAGTACAAACTGACATGAGTCTAGCAGAAATGGGGGCAGGGTAAACACTGACAAGTGGGGAGGTGTCAAAAGCTGGGTTGACGTCCTGACTTTCTACCCTAGGAGCCAAACCAGATGCCACTTTATAGTCTAAACCAATATATTTTCTCCATACTGCTAAGATTTGGTGAATTAAGCACATTCACATGATAGAAATAAGTTTTGATTCAGGGAGAGTCAGAGTGAGTAGAGGGAGAGGCTATTGTGCTGTAAGGCAAAGATTTTTAGTTTCCAAATACCCTACTGCAGCAATGAGCTCTCCCAGAGATGTTATAAGAGCTAGATCTTTGCATTTATGGAGTGAGAGGTCTGCAGAGCAGTGTAGGAGGAGAAATATTTTTAGGTATGCATTGAGGTGGAGTATTTTTTTTCCTTCTTGTTTTATTTTCTTTTCACGAAGATGTACACAGCAAAACTTGCTCCTGAATTCCACAATTTCTAGACATAATGATCAATTATATTGGTTATAGTCTTCACATTGTGTCAACATTTTTCTTACTTCTATTCTCATTTTTAATTGTAGCATCATTCATTTTTTCAGCACACATTTATTGACTGACTGCCGTGTGTCAGGCACTGAGAGTACAAAGACACTGAGATTGGTCCCTGCTGTTGAGGAGCTCGCAGTCTAGGTGAGGAGATAGATAAATAGTATGTATGAAGATAAGTGTCATGAAAAATGTATGTATGCGTTGCTTCATGATCCTTGAAAAAGGGTGGGCAAAGGATAGGAGTTTTAGAAAAGATAAACCATAGATGTTTCTAAATCAAATGAGGTCTAGAGGGAATGCAAAGTTTTGTTTCAACTGAAACAAGTAGAGTGTGCTAAGAAGTGTGAAAATGTAACTTTTAGGGTTCTATAAAGAGATCAGTTTCTACATAGGAGCAGAAAAAGGTTAGGGTCCAGATCGTGAGAAAAATCAAAAGCCATCAAATACATTCTAGACTTTATCCTGAAAACAAGGGAGCCAGTGATAGTTTTTGAAAGAGACTCTCATGATCTGATTTTCATACTGAAACAGTCACAGGAAAGCATACATTTAAATGGGAGTTCATATGGTGGAGGGGAAACCATCTGGGAGGTTTTTTTTAATAATTATTCAGGTGAGAGATGATGAGATCATAAATTAAGGCATTGTTCTGTTAGAGGTAGGAAAATGTTAATATTAAAAATAAGTGAAGGTTTCATAGCTATAAGACTTATTTGGTTCACATTTGTTATCTCAGTGCTTACCTCAGTGGTTTGACACGTGGTAGACAGTCAGTAAACATTGTTTTGAGTAAATGAATTTGTGACCTACTTATTATGGTGGGAGGTGCAGAATAATGAGGTTGTTTTCCGATCTGGGTTAATGATGCTGTTTTCAGAGGGCCTTAATCAAGAAGTCAAATGATGGCGAGCTCTGGTGGCCTAGTGGCAGGAAACTGCACTGCAATCCCAGAGGTGCGCAGTTCAAATCCACCAGATGCTCTGCTGAAGAAGGAGGAACAATTGCCTCCTGTACCAGTCAGATCCAATTTGATGGTACACACATTTAAAAAAATTTAAATAAATAAATAAAATTATTTTTTTAAAAAAGAAGTCAAATGATAAGTTTGGTGATGGGTTTAGCATTCAAGGTGCTTTTGAGACATATGTATGGAAGTATACAGATGTAGACCTCCAAAAGAAAATGCACATTTGAGAACCATTGGCCTACTGAGGGAATGGATGACATTGTCCAGCAAGACTGTAATAAATAAGAAGAGAAGTCTGTAGTCCTGGAGAACATCCAGTTCATGGTATTGGTGAAAAGAAAAGGAGATTGAGGAGTTACATTGAAAGAATTGGAAAGAAAACAATGTTCTCTAATTTTAGGGAGTTTAGTTTCAAGAAGATCAAGTTTAGTTTCAAGAGGCTGATGCTCCCAGATATCCCAAGAGCATCTCTAGAGTGGCCACTGGTTTATCAGTCCTATGAGATTCTTTTTCTCTCTTACTATTTTTTTTCCTTTCAATCTTGAGTGAAAGTTTGCAAATCATGTTAGTTTTCATTCAGCCATTAGTACACATTTTTCATTTAATTGCATACTGAATGATGCTATGGGTGAAATCTTAAATGACTCAGGAACCATCAAAAGAAGAGGGAAGGAATACACTGAGTCACTGTACCAAAATTTCAATGAGTTGTATATGATCAAGAATTAGTAGGGGAGCTCTGGTGGCCTAGTGGCAAGGAGCTGCAACTACAATCCCAGAGGTGCACGGTTCGAATCCACCAGATGCTCTGCCGGGAAAGGAGGGACAAATCTCCTCCTGTACCAGTCAAATCTGATTTGACAGTACACGCACATAAAAATAATAAAATTTTTAAAAAAAAGAATTAATGGTAAGGAAGACAGTCAAGCTGCACTGAGGACACTGGCAAAAAGAAGCCCCCAGAAATTGATGAGATACCAGTTTCTGTGTGTTCCAGCTGTAGTCTTGGTTGTGCTCACCAGTCTGTACCAGAAGATTTGGAGGACAGCTGCGTGCCCAAATGACTAGAACAGAGCTATGTTTGTTCCCTTTTCCCAAAAAAAGGTGATCCAACATAATATAGAAATTATTGAACAATCTCATTAGTATCAGATGAAGCTAAATACTGTTGAAGATCATTCAGAAGCAGCTAGAGCCATACATAGACAGAGAACTCCCAGAAGTTCAAGCTGGATTTAGAAGAGGCCTTGGCATCAGGAATGTCACTGCTGATGTCAGATGGATCTTGACTGAAAGCAGAGAATACCAGAAGAATATCTGTTTGTGTTCTATTGATGAGGCAAAGGCATTTAACTGTTTCATAACATATAGCTAATATTGAGAAGAATGGGAAGCCCAGGACATTTTGTGCCTGACTAAAACCTAGACCACGAAGCTGTTATCCAAACAGCAAGACAATACTACCACATGGTTTCGAATTGGGAAAGATGTGAGTCAGAGCTGTATCTTTGCTGCATACCTGTTCAGTCTGTATGCTAAGCAAACAGCTGGACTTAATGAAGAAGAATATGGCATCAGAATTGGAAGAAGACACTTCAAAGATCTGTGTTATACAGAAGACACAGCCTTGCTGCCTGAAAATGAAGAGGGCTTGAAACACTTGCTGCAGAAGATCAGAGCTTTCAATATGGTAAGTATCAACATCAGAAAAACTGAAATTCTCTCCATTGGGCCAATAGGTAACATCATGATTAGATGGAGAAAAGATTAAAGTTGTCAGTGGTTTCATCTTTCTTGGATCCAGAATCAACACCTTTTGTACTAGCTGTCAAGAAATCAAAAGATATGTTGCCTTGGGAAAACCTGCTGTCTGGATCCCCTCCAAAGTGCTAAGGAGCAGTGATGTCACTTTTAAGACAAAGGTGCACCTGATTAAAGCCCTGGTGCTTTCAGCCACTTGCTGTGCATCTGGGAGTTAGAAGATGAATTAGGATGACAGAAGCAGATTTGATGCCTTTGAGTTGTGTTGGAGGAGGGTACTGAATTCCCTGTGGACTGCCAGAAGAACAAACATATGTTTCAGAGAAAGTGCAGTCAGAGTGCTCCTTACAGGGAAGAATGATGTAACTTTGTCTCACATACTTTAGGCAAGTGGTTAGGAGCCTCCAGTTTTTAGAAAAAGATACCATGCTTGGAAAAGATAAGTAAAAGAAAGGAAGACCTTCAATGAAATAGATTGACACCGTGACTGTAGCAGTGGGCTCAAGTATGTCAAATGATGAGGATGGTACAGGATAAGGCATGGTTCAGATCCATTGTTTAAGAGGTTGCTGTGATTTACAATTGACTTTAGAGCACCTAACAATAGCATAATAACTTTTATAATATAAGAGTCCTCTGGTGGCCTATAATGGTAAGAAGCTGCACTGCCAACGAAAAGGCATGTGGTTCAAGTCCACCAGCTGCTCTGTGGGAGAAAGGGCAATTTCCTGCCTCTGAAAATCCACTGGTGGGTCAGCTTTGGATTGGTTCTGACTCCATGGTACCCAACAACAACGTATGGAAATAAACTTTTCTTTGAACCAATGAAAAGAACAGGTGTCCATAAACAAAGGGTTGAGAGAACTGCAAAGCTAAAGATTGTGTTAATAGGATGGGATCTGGAACATGAGATCTCTTGGTAGGATCATGAAGTACGGAATCTAAGGAGAAGTAGTAGGAATCTGGTCCCTCCCTGCCATTGTTTACACTGGAGGAAGTACAAGTCCTTGGATTGACTCAGTAGCAGCAGAACCACCACCACCTTTCCTCATTTCTCAGCCCCATGTTCTATTTCCTGTGCTCCCTCCTGAGCACTTGAGCTTCAGACCTTCTTGCTGCCCTGCCTGGATTCCTTATGAGTGTGCACATCAGACTGCTGTCTGCTGGGGTGTTTGGGAGCCAGGGTTCCTAAAGCTCAGTTTGCAGTACAGGGTGTGGGCGTGTGGAGGTGGTTGTACTGTCCTCTGCCTATTTCCTGCTCTTCAGAGCTTGCAAAGTGGCAACTTGGAGGCGGGAAGCCACACTGATGAGACTGTTTACATTCTTTCCAGTGACCCAGTGTCCCTGCTGTTTCGCCAGCTCCCATGTTACCACCACCCCCGGATCTTCCCTCTCTGCTTGTTTGAGCAACAGCCAGACTCAGTTTCTGCTGTTTCTCTATCAGCCTGAGTCCTAATGAGAGTACTTCAGAAAGCGCTTCCTCCCCGTAGACTCAGTGGGGACCGAGGAGGGGTTCCTCAGGTGGAGGTCATCTTCATCAATTCTTCAGAGGAGTCTGTATGATTTTCCATAAAAAGGCCCCTGACTTAGGGAATGGAGCCCACAGGTGTTTTGGAAAAGCAAAACATAGAACCATTAAAAAAGAAGAAATGTGTTCCTGTCTATTCTAATAAACGTGACAGTTTTGCAGTTTTTCTTGAACACAATTGCCTTGGTTGTGCTTGTGGATTGACATTTCCTCTCCCTTTGGTAGACAGAGTTACAAGGTCGATGCTAACGCTCAGGAATTGGGCTGGCTCTGCGCCTGGGTAGATGGGCGGATGAGCTCTCTACGCAAGGAATTGGGCCTCTGGGATTTGGAATGGGGATGAGAAGGCAGAGGGTTTGGAGTATGGTTTCAAAGAGTATTTATTCTTCTCTACTTTGCTTTACCCTGACCCAAGGTAAGCTCTCCTTTGTGTTTAGGGGTAAAGCTGAGTGTGTAACGATAATCTGGTCACTTGGGAAGCTTACCATGACCCTGTGTGTGGTCTCAGCCCTGAAAGCTTCATTAGCCTCTTATGTGGTGAGGATGAGTTTTTAGGATTTACAATGTACCTGTGAGTGAGCCTAGTTCAGACTGTCCACAGATTTCCTTCTCCCTGCAGCTTTAGGCAGGCATTAGTGTGAGAATCTGGGATATTTGCTGAGAGGGAAGAATAGATACACTAGGCCCCTATGATGTCATACCCAGGGGTTTGGACAAATTTCTTTTTTTAAAAAAATTTTTTTATTTTATTATTTTTGTGTGAGTGTACCGTCAAATTAGATCCGACTGGCACAGGAGGAGATTGTCCCCCCCACCTCCCCGGCAGAACATCTGGTGGACTCGAACTGCGCACCTCCGAGATTGCAGTTGCAACTCCCTACTACTAGGCCACCAGAGCTCCTGGACAAATTTCTTAAGCTGGGTGGATATTTGGGTTTCTTCTGATTATGGATGGGTAACATTTAGGATTGTACTTTCTTTCAGAAGTCTCTGTTCCCGCATTCTGCCTCAGTATTCCATTCCTGACTTTGTAGTTCTATAGGGAGTCTCAGCTGTGTGGTGCCAGTGGAGATATATGTGACTCGGGGTAAGAAGGGAGTGTTTCCTGAAGTTCAGGCTTAGGTCGTAGCATCAGAACCCTTGCTCTTCTCCCAGACTCAGAGAGAAGAACCAAGGAGAGACATTGCACTGATGTTTTGACTTTGACAGTTTTTTTGCTTAGTAGACTGAAGTCCGAGAATGTGTTAGAAAGTGTGTTGGTTGGTCTGTGTTGCCTCCCTCTCTTGGGCAGAGATAGAGAATCTACTTGGAAAGAGGAAGGAGGGAGCAGGTAGGACTAATGATCATGTGCCTTCTCCAAGTCCTGATGAGATCATCCCAGGGCTCTGCTTTCCAGGCTTTTCTCCTGTCATTGATGTAATCTGCTCTCATTTGCTCTCGGGCTTTTACAAAATTGACACCACTGCTTCTGGGGCCTTTGCAGTGCTATTTAAAGGGCCAATATGCAGAAAGATGATGAGCATATCTGTGTGTCAGAATATGTATGTATTCCCTTAATGAAAAAAAATTGTTTTGGAGAAAGGGCAGAACAGTGTGCTGACTTTAACATAGATTCTGGTATATTATAAACTTCCTGTCTAGTCACCAGTATCATAGCTGCGGGTTGGTGGCTAATCTGCAGATCTCACTTTTACCCAAGATGGTTATTAAGGTGTCAGAATCTTGAATATAGTCCACAGGGAACCAGAAACATAGTGTCCTGGTTAAGAAGAGCTACAAATCAGATGGTTCCTAAGTTGAGTGAGTTAATGGGAGAAAAGCACAACCAGAATGAAAAAGTTGTACAGACAAGAAGATCTATGTCAGTACCATACATCATTTCTTCCTTACCCTCTTACCACAAACAAGGCTGTTGACTAAAGGGACTAGAGGTCGGGGCCCTTCTAATTGGTTTTGGTTGTTATTTATGATGACAGGTCAGTCAAACTGGCTTTACCTTGTCCTTGCAGTAAAACAGGATGTGGCAGAGGAGAACACATTGATTATCCTTGTGGTCACTCCTGGATGCAACCAGTTCCCTACTTTGGAATCATTGGAAAATTGTGAGTACAATCTTGTTCTTTGTCCTAGAAGAGCAAACCCTGCAAGGCCTGGCATTAATTGCTGATACTAGACTTAAAGGCTTCCATGGCCATGGGGATTGAGAATCATCAGGAGCCTAAAGCCATAGAAAATGTGTTTCTATGTAAAATTTCTATTTAATATTTGGAGGTGAGCTGAGGAATATCCTATCTGGTATATTTGGAGTCCCTCAGGATGCCTGCTTTGAGTATAATTCCATTGTATACATTTTATACACACACATACATATATGATTTTGCTCTTCTGTTATGATTTGTACAGAACATCTGCTCTGTATTCTAAGAGTTAAAAACTGTATCCAAGGGGAGCTCTGGTGGCCTAGTGGCAAGGAGCTGCAACTACAATCCCAGAGGCACACGGTTCGAATCCACCGGATGCTCTGCTGGGAAAAGGAGGGACAATCTCCTCCTGTACCAGTCAGATCTGATTTGATGGTACACTCACACAAAAATAAAATTTAAAAAAAAACAAAACTGTATCCAAATAGAGTCATTTCTGTCATTTCAGACACACTGACCATCAATGAAGAGCACTTTCTTCTCATCGCTGAGACTGTCTGGGGAGCTCTCCGAGGTAACAGGGTAGGGTGGGTGCTGACAGGGAGGAAGGGTGATATGCAAGGTTGGCCCTGGAGGAGGAATCAGAAGACTAAGGGCTAGAAAATACTCATTAAGAAGCTTCCTTTCTTGGTGGAGACCTTGAAGGATGTGTTCTTCTAGCTGTCCCTCAACATTGGCAGATTTTCTCCTGTATAGGGGCAGCAAGTCTCTGTGGCAGGCCTTTGGGGAGGCGACAGAAGACCCTGCAGGCTGGTGCTCAGAGTACAGGAGCTGGGGGAAAAGGAACCCAAATCTACCACCAATATAGCCTGCACAGCTCTCAATAAAAACAGACCTGGAGAGTCTCTTTTACAAGGAAAACCTTTCCAAAGAAGAGGGAAAAGGAGGATAAGTAGGATTGTGAGAAGTTGTAGTTATTGTTAGGTCCTGTCAAGTAGGTACCACTACATAGTTTCTCTGTGAGGATAAAACACTGCTTGAACCTGTGCTGTTCTCACAATATCTGCTGGGCTTCAGCTCGTTGTACAACCCTGTGTCGGTCCATCTTCTGAAGTGCTTCCTCTTTGTTGACCTCCTACTTTCCCAAGCATATCTTTTCTCCAGGGGATGGCCTCTCCTGGTAACATGACCAAAGTGTATAAGAAGAAGTCATCTAACTATTTTCATTTCAAAGGAACATTCTGGCCACACTTTGCCAAGACAGATTTGTTTGGGGTTTTTGGCAGTCCATAGTATATCCTGTATTTTTCCCCAGCACCAAAATTCAAAGACATTCTTTTTCAGTCTTCCTTATACATTTTCCAACTTTCACATGCATATGATGTAATCGAAAATACCATGGCTTAGGCTAGGCAAACCTTGGTCTTTAAACTGGCATCATTGCTCGTTAGCATTTTAAAGAGGTCCTTGAAGCAGATTTGCCCAGTGCAGTACATTGTTTGATTTTTTTTAATGTTGCTTCCATGGACTTTGATTATGGATCCAAAAAATTAAATCTTTGACAATTTCAATCTTTTCTCCATTTATCATGATATTATTGATATACTAACCAATGATTTATTATTTAATGAAATTTTTTGGTTTGAAAGCTCTAGTCTTTAAACTTTATCAGAAAATGTTCTAAGTCTTCTTGTTTTCTACAAGCAAGGTAATACAAAAATAATAAAATATAATATTAATAAATTTTCCTCTAATCCCAATGCTGTGTTCTTCACATAGTCCAGTTTTTCAGATTACATGCTTAGCATAAGATTTAATAGATGTGGTGAAAAGAGACAACTCTGTCACATATTTTTCCTGATTTTAAGTTCTGCAAAATTTCCTTGTTTTTTGTTCAAATGACTGCCGCTGCATCTATGTACAGGCCTTGCACAAGCACCCTTAAGTGTTCTGGAAGTCCCATCCTTCTCAGTGTCATCTTTACTTTGTCATCAATGCTATCAGTACTTTGTTATGATAACATAGTTGAATGCCTTTTCATAGTCAATAAAACAGAAATAAACATCTTTCTGATACTCTCTGCTTTTAGCCACAGTCATGTAATGTCAACAGTGATAATCCATGTCCTCTTCTGAATTCAATATGAATTTCTGGCAGTTCTCTGTCAGTGTACTGCTCTGTACCTTAATAGACTTAATAGCAAGATTTTACTTGTGTGTGATATTAATGATAGCATGTAAACAAGATGCTTTAATAGTAATGGATGACTGGAATGCAAAAGTTGAGAATCAGGAAGAAGGATCAGTTTTCGGAAAATATGGCTTTGGTGACAGAAATGAGGCTGGGGATAGAATGATAGACTTCTGTACAATCAATGATTTATTCATAGCAATTACCTTTTCTAAGAACCATAAACCCAGGCTATACACATGTATTTAACCTGATGAGATACGTAGGAATCAGATTGATTACTTCTGTGGAAGGAACCGTTGGACAAGTTCAATATCAACAGTAAAAACTAGACCAGGTGCTGACTGTAGAACAGAAAATCAGCTGCTCATGTGCAAGTTCAAAGAAGGTTCAGTCATATTCACAGGAATCAAAATTTGATCTTGAGTCTTTTGCCCATGAATTTAAAAACCAACTCAGGAATAGATTTGAGGCCTTGAACACTAACGAATGAAGTCCAGATAAGCTGTGGGAAGATATCAAGAATATTGTTCACGAAGAATGCGAAAAGTCATTACTAAGAAGGAAGAAGAAGAAAAGACAAAAATGGATGTCAGAAGAGACTCTGAATATTGCACTAGAGCACCGAGAAGCAAAGGGGAGAAATCAAGAAGTTAGGGAGCTGAATAGAAGATTTCAAAGGGCTACTCCGGAAGACAAGGCAAAATATTATAAAGAAATGTGCAAGGAGCTGGAGTCAGAAAATCAAAAGGGCCGAATTTGCTCAACATTTCTTAAGCTGAAAGAGCTAAAGAATAAATTCAAGCCACAAGTTGCAAAGCTTAAGGATGCTATGGGCAGAATATAAAATGATTCAAGAAGCATTAAAAGCAGATGGAAGGAGTATACAGAGTCATTGTACCAAAAAAATTGGCTGACACAGAAGAATTTCAAGAAACAACCTAAGCAAGAGGCATTGGTGATGAAGGAGGACGTTCAGGCTACTCTGAAGAACTTGGCAAAAAATAAAGCCCCAGGAATTGATGGAATACCAGTTGACGTATTTCAGCAAACAGATGCTGCCCTGCATTTGTTCCCTAAGTTGTTCCAAGAAATCTGTAGGACAACTACCTGGCCAACTGATTGGAAGAGATCTGTATTTATTCCTGTTCCAAAAAAAGGTGACCTGACAGAGTGTGTACAATATCACTAATATCATACACAAGCAAAATCTTGCTGAAGATTATCCAGAAAGGACTTGAACAGTACATTGAAAGAGAACTACCAGAAATACAGGCTGGGTTTAGAAAGGGTTGTGGCACTAGGGACATTATTTCCAATGTCAGATGGATCTTGGCAGAAAGCAAAGAGTACCAGAAGAATGTCTATCTGTATTTCATTGACTATGCAAAAGTATTTGACTGTGTGGATCACAATAAATTGTGGCTACCCTTGAGGAAAATGAGAATCTCAGAACACTTGATCCTGCTTATACAAAACCTATACTTGGACCAAGAAGCAGCCCTCAGAACCTCTGCATGGTTCAAAATCAGGAAAGGAGTAAGTCAGGGATGCATCCTGTCCCCTGTACCTTTTCAATCTCTATGCAGAACAGATCATTCAGGAAGCAGGGCTTTATGAGGAGGAATGTGGCATCAAGATTGGAGGGAGACTCATTAACATACATTATGCAGATGACACAACCTTGTTTGCTAAAACTGAAGAAGACCTGAATCACTTGCTGCCAAAGGTAAAGGACTGTAGTCTTCAATATGGATTGAAGCTCAACATCAAGAAGACAAAGATTCTCCCCACTGGGCCAACTGGCAGCAGCATAATAGAGGAGATCGAGGTTGTTAGCAGTTACAGCTTGCTCAGATCCACAATCAACACTCTTAATACCAGCAGTCAGAAAATCAAAAGACAAATTGCATTGGGAAAATCTGCTGTCGTGGACCTCTCCAGAGTCCTGAAGAGCAACAATGTCAGTCTAGATACAAATGTGCGCCTAATCCAGAACATGGTTTTCTCAATTATTTGTTATGCTTCATAAAGTTGGACAGTGAGTAAGGATGACAGTCAAGAATAGATGCCTTCTAGTTGTGGTGCTGGAGAAGAGTCTTGAACATACCATGGACTGCCAAGAAAACAAAAAGGTCTGCGTTAGAGGGTGAAGCCAAGTCTGTCCTTGGAGGCTAGGATTGTGAAGCTCCACCTCACTTACTTTGGGCATGTGGTCAGGAGAGATTGATCCTGGGAGAAGGACATCATGCTCGGAAGGGTGGATGGACAGCACAGGAGAGGGAGACCCCAGATGAGATGGATTGAATAGAATAGCTGGGGTGATGGGGGTTGGTGTGTCAGAATTAGTGAGACTGGCTCAGGATAGAGAAGGGTTCAGAACTGCTGTACATAGGGTTGCTATGCATTGCAGGCGACTCCACCAGTAGCATTCTGTAAGAGGTTTGGAAGCAGGAGAGGCATCTACTTCCTAAACAACTTGTGTCCAAAAACCCTATGAACTTTGATAAATGTCAGTAGTTATAGAGAGTCTTCAGGCCTTTTGACCCGCTACTTTCCAGCTCCACCCTCCACCAGGATAACCCTTCACATCTGCCAAGTCCCTTCAGAAAATATCTTCCATTGTCCAACCCATCATCTGACAGCTTCTATCTTAAGCTTTCTTGGCTTCTGTGATTCCAAACACATCAACTGCTGACATTTTTTTTTTCTTTTGACCAGTGTCTCTTAAGTTTAGTTGTACTGTCTCCAAGGGAAGGTGACGTGTCCTGTAGAACTCCTGTGTAGATTATGTTTTCCTTTCTGCGGCCGAGGGCCCGCCGGTTTTTCCTGGGTACCTGAAAGATGCCTCTTTGCTGTTATCCGAGGTGACCTTCCCCAGTGCGCAGCTTCCCGTCTTCCCTCTCTGGCCGGTTTTTCCTGGGTTTTACCTGAAAGAGTATGAAGAGAATTGTGGCATCAGGATTGGTGGAAGATCTATTAACAATCTGCGTTATGCAGATGACACAACCCTGCTTGCTGAAACTGAGGAGGACCTCATGCACTTGCTGCGAAGGGTCAAGGACTGCAGCCTTCAGTATGGACTGAGGCTCAGTGTCAAGAAGACAAAGATTCTCACCACTGAACCAATTGGCAGCGTCAGGATGGATGGCGAAGAGATTGAGATTGTTCACAGCTTCAGTTTGCTCGGCTCCACAGTCAACACTCTTGGCACCAGCAGTCAGGAAATCAGAAAGCGTATCACAATGGGAAAGTCTGCTGTTAGGGACCTCCCTAAAGTACTCAGGAACAACGGTGTCTCTCTGGAGACTAAGGTGCACCTGATACAGGCCATGGTATTTGCAGTCGCTTGTTATGCATCAGAGAGTTGGACAATGACTAAGGAGGACAGAAGGAGAGTGGATGCTTTTGAGCTGTAGTGCTGGAGAAGAGTACTGAATGTACCATGGACTGCCAGGAAAACAAACAGATTCATCTTGGAGATGATTAAACCAAGCTACTCCTTGGAGGCAAGGATTCTGGGGCTTCATCTGACATACTTTGGACATGTTGCCAGGAGGGACAGGTCCTTGGAGAGGGACATCATGCTTGGGAGGGTGGAGGGACAGCGCAGGAGGGGAAGACCCTCTATGAGATGGATTGATTCGGTGACTGGGGTAATCGGGATGGGTGTGTCAGAGGCAGTGCGGTTGGTGCAGGATAGAGCAGAGTTTAGGGCTGTTGTGCATAGGGTCGCTATGAGTCGAAAACGACTCGACGGCACATAACAACAACAGGCCTTTTGTTCATAGTGTCACTATGAGTTGTGCTCGACTTGAAGGCAATCAACAACAACATTCTGTAGCCTATAGAATATATTCTGTAATAGTCTAAAGTACTTCTCTTGGAGTGCTTTCTTTTAAATGGGTACAAATATGAATCTCTTCTAGTTGATGGGCCATATAGCTTTCTTTAATTTCTTGACATGAAAAATTAAGCAAATCTAGCACTGCATCCACTTGTTGAAACATCTCAATTGTATTCATCAGTTCCCGGAGCCTTGTTTTTCGCCAGTACCTTCAGTGCAGCTTGGATTTCTTCCTTCAATACATTGGTGGTTGCTCATATGCTTCTTCCTCAAATGATTTCTGTGAAACTGTTCTTGGTGTAGTGACTCTGTATCTCTTCTGGCTTCTTTTGATTCTCCCTGTGTCATCAATATTTGCCCATAGAATCTTTCTGTATTACAACTTAAGCCTTAAATTTGCTCTTTAATTTTTTTTTTTTGTTTTGAGAAATGCTAAGCACCTTCTTCCCTTTTTGTTTCCTAACTCTAGGTCTTTGTACATTTTTAATACTTCATTTTGTCTTCTCAAGCCACCCTTTAGAATCATCTGTCAGTATTCCTAGCTCATAAGTTTTTCCATTCACTCTGGCTTCTCTTTGTACCAGAGAGTCTCTTCTGACATCCATTTTGGGGTTTTTTTAAAAAAATTGTGCTTTTAATGAAAGTTTATAAAAAAGGTTGGGTTTTCATTCATTCGTTGTTGCACATTTTCCTCCCTCCCCATCCCTTTCTCCTCCACCAGTCCCCTTTGACATCCATTTTGGTCTTTTCTTTCCTGTCTTTTAATTACCTTTTGCTTTCCTCATGTATCAGTCCACAATTCGTCTGGCCTTCAGTCATTAGTGCTCAGTGCATCAAGTTTATTTTTTGAGATGGTCTCTGAATGCATATGGAATATAATCAAGATCATATTTTGGCTTTCATGGACTTGTTTTCCATTTCTTCAACATTAACTTGCATGTGAACAGTTAATGGTATGTTCCACTGTTGGCCTTGGGCCTTGTGTAGTCAGAGGAAGATATTAAGCTTTCTTACCTTCTCTTCCATAGGTGTAATCCATTTGAGTCCTGTGTATCCCATCCAGCAAGATCCACACTGTGTAGTCAATCATTTTTGATCTTTTAAAATTATTTGTGAAGTCATTGTTCATACAAAATTGTATCATGTGACCTACAGCCTCATTTCTATCACAAAGGCCATATTTTCTAATCACCAATCCTTGCTTGCTTCCAACTTCTACATACCAAAAATGCAAACAAATTTATTTAAAAATAATTATTCCAGTTACTAGTAATATATGTGACATAGGACTATATAGTTTGCTATGTGGTGGTGTTGGTAGTCATGACAGCAGCGTTGGCAGCAGCATTGGGTCCCAGCAAGTTAAGTGTATCTGACAGCAGCCCCAAGAACAGATCTGAATCTTGCCCTATCCTGTGCTATCCTCATCATCTCTAGTATACTTGAGCCCATTGCTATAGTCACTGTCCACGGTCCAGCTCATTGAGACTTTCTCTGTCTCACTTACCTTACACTTTTCCAAATGTCCTTTTCCAGGGACTGGCCTCCTAACAACATGTCCAAAGTATTGAGATGAAGTTTTGCCTACAAGGAGCACCCGCTTGTACTTTATCCAGTACATACTTGTTTGTTCTCCTGACAGTTAGTGAGATGTTCAACACTCTTCTCCAACACCACCACTCAAAGGTTTCAATTCCTCTTTATTATCCTTACTTTCTTTATTTATCTATTATTATATTATCCTTATTTTCTAACATTTATCTTAGCCTTTAAATTAACATTACTGCTCCTTAGAACTTTGGAGAGGTCCTTGGCAGTGTATTTCCCTACCATAGCACATCTTCTGATCTCTTCTTGACAATACCAAGGGTGTTGATTGTGGACCTAAGCAAGATGTAACAATTTCAGTCTTTTTTTCCATTGATGAAATAGTCTTTTCAGTCTTTTCTATATCTATCATAATATTGCCTGTTGGTCCAGTGAGGAGGATTTTTCTTTTCTTGGTGTTAGATCCTAATGAATGCTTCAGTCTTTGCTCTTCTGCAGTAAGTGTCTCAAGTCCTCTTCATTTTCAGCAACCAAGGTTTTGTCATCTGCATAATACTGGTTGTTAATGAGTCTTTCTTCATTCTTGATGCTTCTTCTTCATAAAGTCCAGTTTTGTCTTCCGGAGATACGGTGTATAGTCATTCAGAGTGGTCCGGCGTCTGACCTACCGTTGTTGACTGTCCTACAATCCAGCCTCTAACAAAAGTCGGCTGTTCTGAACACCTTGTAATAGAATTGTTTACCTTTATACCAAGAAGGTTGGGAAAGCACTGAAATCTGCATGTGGTGTGTGCCCAGGCAGACTAAGAGGAATTTGTGCTGTGAGACCTAAAGTTCTCAGGAGGTTGTCAAAAGCAGGCATGTCACCAGGGCTTATGGTTATTTCAAGTGTGCTGAGTGTGTCCGTTACAGGATCAAGTGTGCTTTCCTTATTGAGGAGCAAAAAATGGTTGAGAAAGTACTGAAGGCACAAGCACAAAGTCGGAGGGCGAAATAAAAAATGGCACTTCTATAAGTAATACAGGCATATGGTTTGTTCTTTTTAAAAATACTGATTTGTTCATACAGAGTGAACACATATGGAGAAAGGATACAGCCCTGACGCACATCTATCTTGATCTTAAACAAGGCACTATCCCCTTGCTCTGTTCTCACAACCACCTCTAGGCTAGGTATAGGTTTCACATGAGCATAATTAATTGTTCTGGGATTTCCATTCTTCTCAAAGTTAGCCATAATTTGTTATGAACCAACCATGTAGTCAAGTGCCTTTGCATAGTCGATAAAACACAAAGAGTAGAACTGTATTATTTCAGCAGAAAAGGAAACTCTGCTAACACATCTCTGCCCTATTGAGAAAGGTATTTGCTTCTTAAATACAAACTTGGTATAAAATACCTCTACTAGGCTCTCAGCTGGATGCTGCTGTGTCAGCACTCGGGAGCCCGGGTTCGAACTCGAAATAAGCTTTGTTAATTCTGAAAAAAAAATACCTCTACTACTTTTTGTGATCACTCTTACTGGTGATTGAGAAAATTTTCACCTAATTCCAAACCTTATTTTAACTTGTCTTTATTCCTTGATCCTGATCTCATCTCCTTTGCTTTAGAAGGACAGCATACTGACTTCACTTTTTGCCTTTCTGTAGATTTTGTGTGGGTTCTAAGAATTACGTTGTATTGTTGTTAGGTGACATTAAGTCAGCTACAACTTATGGCACCGCTGTGAACAACAGAGCTGAACTTTAACCAGCACTATCCTCACCATGTCTGTTCGTATCTCTGATACAGTGGGCTCAAAGCCCATTGTTAAAATCCCTGTGTCAGTCCATTTTGTTGAGGGTCTTCCTCTTTTTCTCTGGCCCTCCATCTTTTCCATTTTTTTCCAAGGATTGGGCTTTCCTGACAACATGCCCAAAGTATATGACATGAAGTATAGTTTACCAAACTTCCCTCTAGGAGGAAAAAAAAAATCTAAGATTCCAAATATTGGACTCCAGAGTCTCAGGGTATTGACCCCAAACCATGTATATCAGTCTTTATCTTATTGGGATGCTGAATGACTACTCAGGTTTCATGTATTCTTTCCTTCTTGGTATTTGGGGTACTGGTAATCCTTTGTGCAGTTTCTGCTGGGTTTGCACTCCAAGTTGTGGAGTTTGTGAAATGTTCTGCCCTCAGGCCTTGCTGGAATCTGGAATAGTCTCTGGTGGTGGAGTGACCAATTCTGGGTTGCTTGATGCCTCCTCATCTCAACTCCCTACAACCAGGACTCTTCTCAGACTCTGAAGCGGAAGAATGGTTTGGGTTTTTTCCCTGTGTTTAACTGGGAATTCTGTTGACCTAATGGTAAGAAGCTGCGCTCCAATCCCAAAGACATGCTGTTTGGGTCCACCAGCTGCTCTGCTGGAGGAGGATGGACGATTTCTTCCGAAAACCTATTAGAGGGTCAGCCATGTGTCAATTCAGTTCCTATTTAACTATGGACTCAAGCTCCTTGGAACCTCAAACTTTTTAATCTCTTTTCCACTCTCTTAGCACTTGAGAGGTAATAGGCATAGAAAACCTAAACCCTTTGTAGGCTAGTTTGCCCTGCAACAAGCTCACTTGGTGTTATCTCATTTTACTGCCTTGTGAATTCAAGGTTCAGGAAATTTGGAGAAGAGGCATAGGGGTTTTAAAGGTGTTTGTACTTCACTGAAGACCCCTAAAACCTTTTACACTGCAACCTCCCAAAATAAATATAAAATAGAAATGTATACAGACCTCCTTGTTTTCCCTTTTCAGTAATTATTAAGAATCATCAAACCTACACTGTGCCCAAATATTGTGCTATGTTTATTAGGAATCTTCGAATAGATGTGTCTCACTCCACCCACCTCCCTGACTTTATTCTGCCTATTTCCCCACAGGCTTGGAGACTTTCAGCCAGCTTATCTGGACATCTGCTAATGGCACTGTGAGTTGTCAACCCTCTGAAAGGACTCATTTTCTTAGTTTCCAGAGGTGTTATTCCCTGTGTTAAGAGTCCTAGAATTCTCTTGTTTTGCCTGAGGAAACTTGAGATGGCTCCATCGAGGCTATAGGAGGAAGTGTGAATGGCGAGCTGGTTTGATAGGTTTGGCCTGTTGGTAGTCATTGTTGTCTGGTTCTCCTCAGTTACGTGGCATGTAGTCCAGAGTCTTGCGGCTTCCCCCAAGAGGGTTCTTCTCTAGCATTTCAAATCCGCCACTCACTCCTTAAGATGAGCAGTCTCCTCCCATATAGTTTGTGACCTCAGAAACCCACCCCATCGAGGGTCACTGTGAATTAAAACCGACTCCACAGCAGCACATTTGAGTTTGAGGCCATACTCCTTGGAGGAAAATAAGGATGGGGTAATTGTCAGTGAAAATCAAGACTCTGTAAGTTGAGTGGTGTGGTGGCATTTGAATCACTGATGTGGAGGATGGGGTGTTTAGCAAGATTAGTTTTCAGTTGGGGAGTTTTTTGTGTTTGATTTCATTTGGGGTTCGTTTTTGTTTTCACCCTAGAAAACTTGGGTGTATCTTTCTCACACCCTTGATTCTGACATGTTTCATATTTATCTGCACAGTTTTTTGTCAACAAGACGGACATTGTGGACTTCCCTCGCTTCCCTCACCGGGGTTTGCTGTTGGATACATCTCGCCATTATCTGCCACTGTCTATGATCCTGGATACTCTGGTACCTAGGCCGTGAGGCCTTTTTCATCTCTAGGGCAGTTGGGAAAGAATAGAGCAGATATCCCATTCCTAAAACTCAAAAGACAGTAGAATGATTTTACCACACTAACTACTGCTAACCAATTCCTGGGCAGTCTCCTAGGTTGCAGCACATGATTTAGGGTGTTGTCTTCTTTCATCAGGGAGCACTAACTTGAGTTTAAGACAAGTTCATAGAAAAGAGATAATCAAAAGTTGTCACTGGAGAAGTCTTAACTCTCCTGAGTTGGAGTGTGCATTTTTTTATTTGACACTTGCTCATCCATCTCATGCCTGATTTTCCCTTTCCTCCTCTGGTACAACCAAAGCAGCCAACTTATTCCATCAGCCTTGGCTTCTCAATGCGTCAGTTTATAATGTTCTCAGCAGATCTCATAGTTTACATCTGTGTTAGTCATACAACCCAACACAAATGATAACTGGAAAGAAACATGGGTCACCAGACTTTAGGAGCTTATGGAAGGCTCTCACTCCCACTCTCAGTCTGTGCATGTGCCCTGGGAAAAGAAGAAATATTCTGCCTTCTCTCCACACCAATGTAGAAAGAATTGATGCCGAGACCTGCATACACTTCGTTGGGAGCTGAGACAGGGAGGAGCTGATCCCACGGGGGTGCGTGTGGGAACCTGACAGCTTGCCCAGTGCATCCCTGGTGTGAAGATGACACCGCAGTAGATGTGATGGGTTTATAGCATGTGCTCTGACCTACAGGATGTCATGGCATACAATAAATTCAACGTGTTCCACTGGCATCTGGTAGATGATCCTTCCTTTCCATATGAGAGCATCGCTTTTCCTGAGCTTTCCAGAATGGTATGTTTCACTTTTGCCAAGTCTGTAGTGTTGGCATCTGATCCTGGCTAGGTCAATGGCTCCAATTTTAAACAGCCCTGTTTTAGGTAGACACATGGACATGGGGGATGGTACCAGATTTATGGCCAAGAAACTTGCATTGAGTCTAAATGTTGTCATTAATTTTCTCTCTGGCCTTCCAGGGATAGTTCTAATCTCATTATTCTTTTGTTTACTTATAGTTGGTTAAATTTAAATAATACCTTCCTTGTTTATTTCACTGGCATAATGAAGCTGAGCTGGACGAATGAAGCTGGGATAGCTTGTAGGACATTATGATAAAGTTCCTTGAAAAATAGTCTGAGTCTAAAAGGCTATGGGTAGATTTCGTGGTATTTGAGGAGTCCTGAGGGTATCTTGAGTCCTAGTCTTCAGGACATGAGAGCCTGAAAGGTGTCTTGTGCTTTCTAGGGTGCCTACAATCCTGCCACCCACATCTACACAGTTCAGGATGTGAAGGAAGTGATTGAATACGCACGGCTTCGAGGCATCCGTGTGGTGCCAGAGTTTGACACCCCAGGCCACACTTTGTCCTGGGGAGCCGGTAAGAATAATTCTGGGCTAGAAAGAATCTGTCATTCCTCCTTCGTGGGACTTCAGGGTCTCAGCTCCTAGATATATTTTCCATCAACCTTTCCCAGAATTTGGACAGAAAGGCTTTATTTTGATATCAGCACCTACTGGGGACACATCAAGTCCAATGCAACATGTTATTGGAGAATTTGTATGTGTTTGTAAATAAAATGAAACATCTCTCTATGTACTGATAAAAAAAAAAGAGGCTTTATTTTAGGTGAAAGAAGCCACTGCTTTCTGTTGAAATATGAGCACATTTCCTCCGCTGTCCTTGCCTGAATGACATTCTTGCAGTCTGTTGTGTCCTTGCATGGAAGCCGTGTTTCAGGAACTGAGAGTGTGGCTGATAGAATTCTGATTGTAACTCAGCCTCTAACTGACTGACTCACCTGTGAATGTGATTGTGGGCACACGAATGCCAGGGTGTGCCTCAGTAGGTATGAGTGACATTTGTGAGTGTATGACTTAGATAATTAAGTTTTTGTGCACACGCATCTGGCCATTTGTGACGCTTACAGGCTCTCTGTTAACTTAGGTGTCCCTGGATTGTTAACTCCTTGCTACTCTGGATCCCAGCCCTCTGGCACCTATGGACCAGTAAACCCCATTCTTAACAGTACCTATGAGTTCATGACTGCATTCTTCTTGGAGATCAGCACTGTTTTTCCAGATTTTTATCTTCACCTTGGAGGAGATGAGGTTGATTTCTCCTGCTGGTAGGAGCCTTTGATCATTCTTTCCCTGCCTGATGGGTCACTCACTCACAATTGAGGCTCCCCACTGTGGGGCAGCCCAAGTCAGCTGCTCCTTGGGGCCTCACCTCTGAGCCTGGAGACAGCCATCTGCCTTGGTCCAGATTGCTCACACCCGGGGCCTTTCTTCTTTCATCTGCAGGGAGGCTGTACTTGGTTTCGGCAAAACTGTGACTGAACATTTCCCTTCCTCCACTCTTGAAGCCTTCAGATATTTATGGAAAAACCAGTTCTGGGCATGAAACTGTCTTGGCAAAGGCCAAGCTAGAAAAAAATGATCCTGTTTATGAAGATTTAAGAGTGGCTGAAGAGGCAGGACCCAGAAGAATTTTAGATTAAGAGCAGACAGTGTCTAGTTCATTAAAAGATTGTGAAGTCCAAACTGTCATCTGTCAGGAGCTTTAAAAGTGGGTTGAGAGGCTTTTTAGAGAAGAGGTCACTTGAGCCGGGTCTGGGGAAATAGGCATTTTAGGGACGTGAGAGGAAAGGCATTCCAGGAGAACAATGTGAATAAAATGTAGATTGGAGGTGAGGAAGTTTCAGTGGGTGACCGACTCCAAGGCTTATTCTCTAGCTAGAACGAAGAATGCATATGAAGGGAACAGCAGAGTGTGTACAAGGGTAAGCTACAGGTTAGGCAGCCAGAATCCAGTATGCTGGAGCCCCGTGGCAAGAACTTGGATCCACTTGGGGTGGTCTGAAGAGAGGGGGAATATATATGTTCTCTTTTGAGGTTTAAACTGGGAACTGTTGAGTTCCAGGCCCATCCTGTCGCAGCCTGTGTCAGTGGCTTCCTCGGATGGTGTTTTCAGCCATACTGTCTCATTTTGAGGTTTCTGTGATGTTCAGCTGTTTGTTTTCCATCTGAAAAAGGAAAGTTGTAGAAGGCCAGGTGTCGAATCCTCATGCTTTGTGCTTTTAAGATGTTGAAAGAATTACTCTCTATTTTCTTTTCGGATTCAGGAAATCCAATCCAGATATCCAGAGATTTATGAAGAATAAAGGCTTTGGTGACGACTTTAGGCAGCTCGAGTCTCTCTACATCCAAATGTGAGGAGCAGCGCGGGGTTCTTTGGGGCTCTCCCCTGGGTGGGGCTCTACGTTCCCATCCCAGGGCCAGACCCTCTGTGATTATTCTTTGAGCTTGAACTTTTCCTTTGTCCTGTCCTTTCATTTGGAATGATCTGTTCTCACTCATAGGGAGGACCCTGCTCAGTCGGGACTGAGCGCTAAGCCAGGCTCAACCCTTCGAGGACAAGGGACCCTTAGGCCAGAGTCTGAGCTGAGTAGACACTTTGTTTCTCCTCCTCCTCTAGGCTGCTGAACATCGTTTCTACCTATGGCAAGGGCTACATGGTGTGGCAGGAGGTGTTTGATAACAAAGTCAAGGTGAGCTGGGGTAGAGTAGAGAAGGAGCCCCTTGCAGCGCCCCTCTAAGGTCCCAAACCCTTCCTGCCTCAGCAGTGACTTGCTAGTCCTGGTTTGGATTAGGTTTTGAGGTTGGGGTTGATTTTGTTGTTTTTTGTTTTAATACTGGTTTATTTCAAATTTGAACGCATTGGTTTTAACACCAAACCTTTCTCATTTCCTTCATCATCCCCACCCATCAAATTGTGCAACCCTATGATTAACCCGCCCGCCCCTTCTCACCCCTCTGCTTCCACCCTCCTCCCTTGGATACTCATTCAACAATAATGGTTTTATACAGTATTTGTCCTTATGGGACTGAGTTCACTTAGTATATTGCTCTCCAGTCCCTCCCAAAATAGGTAGTAATTTACAAAATCATTGCTCCTGTGTGCTGCGTATTGTTCCTTTCTGTAAATGTATAATAATTTCACAATCCATTCAGTTGTGGTTGGACATCTGGGCTATTTCCATGTCCTTTTTTAAAAAAAAATTAAATGTTATTAATTTTAGTGAACATTTACAGAGATTTTGGGTTTTCATTCATTCATTGTTGCACTATTTTCTCTACCCTCCTCCCCAGTTCATTCTTCTTTTTTCCCCCCTTGAAAGTCTGTTTTAATTGTCCAATTGCTATAGTGCTTGTCAAAGCCAGTTCTGATTAATCTCCTTTGTCAGTGTGTCCTTTGCCATTCCCTATCACTCCTGCCTGAGAGATACTTCACCCTGATTCATAAGGAAAAGGGGACAGCATATTCTCTTAGCTACGTCCTGCTGAAAAGGGATGCTGTAGGTTTCAGGGTAAAGATCTTCTCTCACTACTCTAAAGGGCCCATTTAGCAATAGGAAACACATAGACTATTATGGAGATTGATTTTGGAATCTAGATGCACTGTTATCAATTGTGCTTAGCCATACATGTTCATATCCTTGAAGATGTATCATGGAAGTGTTGCAGCCTAGAAGACACAAATTTAACTAACAAGTTAAAAGTACATGAGTCAAAAATTAAAAAGCAATAATATTCCAAGTAGAGGTTCTAATAGTGGCACGAATCAAGTTACAGAGGGAAGGTAGTTCTTACAATAAAAGGCCTATTGACTAGCACTTTGTCTACTATAGCATACAGGTTAGGAACCACAAGATATAGAGACTCAACTATGTCATTTATTGTTCTTAAGTCCTGGAGCAAATTCCATCTACCACTGCATTGTTTTACAACTTGGAAGTTCGCATGCAAGGCAGAGGTAAAGTAGGAACTGCTTATGAGGTTTTCCGTCCATTCCAACAACTAAGAAATAGTGAGAAGAGTTGGGACCTCAGAAGGCTTTTAGGACCAAATAGTAGGCTCTTGTGTCCAGGAGAAAACGAATATACTTACCAGTAATGTTAATGCTCACCCACAGCTCTTTTGGGAGGATCTAAATAGTTGAAGCTTGCTTCCATGTTCTTGTGATAGTGAATAATACTGCTCTGAACATTGGTGCAGAAGTCTCTCATCAAGAGTGATGATTTCTGCTACTAGATTACTTAGAATTCCTCACACTGACATGATGAGCTGCGTTTTGCTCCCAAAGTCATAGTCTGAGGTCATTTGGGTTTGCAGGAACACACTTTCCTTCTCCTCAATATAAAATTGAAGCCCCCCGCCACCTGCAAGCCCCCTGCAAGAACTTTGTCCTGTCCCAAAAATACCTGGAGACTCTTGAACATACCTGTTCCTGAAGACTCCCCACAGCCCCACTGCTTGCCCACCTCATCTCACATCTAGTGTTACCATCTCTGTGGATGAGGAACTCAATGATCTTGCATCATAGGGCAATACATTGCTGTTGGGGAGCAGGAGTATCCCCACTTTGTAGGCATAAGACAAAGCCTGGGCATCTCTTCAGCCATGTGTTCCATCACCCCATTTGTTCTCTTGTGTCAGATTCAGTCAGACACGGTCGTAGAAGTATGGCGAGAAGTGACCCCAGTAAACTATATGAAGGAGCTACAACGGATCACAAATGCTGGCTTCCGGGCGCTGCTCTCCGCCCCCTGGTACCTGAACCGCATAACGTATGGCCTTGACTGGAAGGAGTCCTACATGGTGGAGCCCCTGGCGTTTGACGGTAAAACCCGGAAGCTCAACTTGCTGACCAGAGGAGACCGGGCTAGGGCACTAGACAGCAGATAATTCCTTTTAGTAGAAGAAACAACTGAGGAGAAGGTCACATTAGGAAGGCAGTGGGAGGAAGCCCAGAGTTTATCCTCGCTGCCATCAGACCACAGCAATACAAACAATCTGTGGTTGCTTCTTTTACCACAGGTAGTGAAGAGCAGAAGGCTTTGGTAATTGGTGGAGAGGCCTGCATGTGGGGCGAGTACGTGGACAGCACAAACCTGGTCCCCAGGCTCTGGTAAGGGTGTCCTGGGGGCAGTGGGAGGTTGGGCAGAGATTCTCACTTTGACGCAGTCCTGCCTGGCTCCCTCCAGACTCTTTTCCAGCCTGCCAGAACAGAGCTCCACCTGTCTTTTGTGTAGCTAATACTCACTTCTCCCCAGACTTACACCTGTACTTCTCCAACAGCCCAGTAAATTACAAGAGAATGAGCCTGGAGAACAGAGGTGACTTTGTCAGGATGCAGCAGCCCAGAAGTGAGATTCTGTGGTTCCTCTAAGATGACTTTCCAGGCTGTTTCATTAGCAGCCACAGAAGCTGCAGCCTCACCAAACCTGGTTGGTTAGGTGTGTAGAGTTTACTTTTGAGAACAATTGCTGCCACTGCTAAGAACAGTGACTGTAAGATTTTTCATATCTTTGGGAGAAGGACACGGTTGCATCACTGTCCACTTTTTAAATGAAAGTGGAGTTGAGCTCTCAAACTGGGAGCCCTCCAGCCAGGCTTACTTTTGAGCAAGATGCTGATTGCATCCCTTGGCCTTGAATTGGCACACTCTCTTCTCATTACCACCAGATCAGAATCTGCTCATAGCTGACCTATTCATAGTGAGTTTTCATAGGCTGTAAACTGCATGGGATGAGATTATTCATCGTTCCTCTTGGAAAGCTGGCCTGGTCATTCTGAGTTGTAGCCTATGACTGTCCAGCCTCATGCAGGGACAGTAGAGCCAGTCTTGTCTGTGCCCTTTCTCCAGGCCCAGAGCAGGTGCTGTTGCTGAGAGACTGTGGAGCAGCAAGCAAGTGACCAACTTGGAATTTGCCTTCAGGCGCTTGACAGACTTCCGGTGCAAGCTGCTGAGGTACGTGGGCTCCAGGCCCTCCCAGGTCGGGAGTGAGTCAGGGTCTTGGAACCCAGTCACCTAGAGGAAAAAAAATAGTAACAATATCTACAACCAGGAGAAGATAAAATAGACGAATGGGACCTTCTGAGAATCAAATCCCTATGCACATCCAAAAACTTCTTCAACGGGGTAAAAAGGGAAGCCACACACTGGGGAAAAGTATTTGGGAATGACATGTCAGATAACAGACTTACATCTAGAATTTATAAAATACTCAAGCACCACCACAACATAAAGGTAAATAATCCAGTTGAAAAATGGACACAGGATATGAACAGACACTTCACCAAAGAAGGCATTCAGATGGCCAACAAGCACATGAAGAAATGTTCAAAATCCCTAGCTCTAAGAGAGATGCAAATCAAGACAACTATGAGATATCATCTCACCCCAGTC